CTTCACGATGTCTGAAGCAATCGGCGAAATTTGTGAATGGGCTCCGAATATCTCCGGCAAAACCATCTCCATCAACGTGAAATCATCTGCAGTGGATCCACGGTTTCACGGCATAATTTTCACAGAGGATTGTTCTGCTGGTTCTCCTAAATATGGCCTTATCCGCATTCTGCAACAACTACAAAGCATGTTTCAGGTACCGTTTACAGAGTTGTAATTTCTCGCCCACTTATTGTCGCAATAATTCATCAGCGAGCCACGTTGTATCACCTACCTCGTATTAAATGCGTAACCACACAGATGTGACGCAAAAGCATATTTCACAGATTTGGCATTCGAAATATCTACCCGCTACATTTTCATACGAGATCACGCATTTTTTCTAATCCGATAATCTGTGTATGGGCTTGTGCTATCATTTTTCTTAATGTATTATTCCGTTTAATGATTCCACAAAGTTGTCATTGTTTGTCCATTGATGTCACTCTACCAGTTCACTCCTTCGAGTCAGCACACCAGCACTCCGGAAGCACAAAGTTCAAGAGAGTGGCAGCTGGCAGTTCCGTATCATGACGGCAGTCGCCATACTTCAGTGGCCATTTCTCCAATTCTGTTGAACCCGAGAACTTCAGGAAGCACTTCCAACTTGTCCCCGATACCTGCGAGCTTCGGAGTTAGTTTATTGATGGTTATGAAAGTTTTACGATCATTCAGTCTTTGGAGGAGTACGCTGACTGGTCATATTGATTAAGGAAGACTATGCTTTTACATGATTTCGAAGTTGTTGGTGTAGCGTAGCTACTCATCGGAATTCAATCTCTTACATTACATATATGGTATATGAGTTTACTACACATCTTTGGCTCACTTTAAAGTGACAAGTTCCCGATCATTAAATTTACCCAAGAAAATTAGGAGCAGTTACCTTACTCCTGTCCCATTTGATGTCTGCAACCTTCGAGATTTTCTTGTCTCGTCGCTTGCTTACATCCACTTTCCATCCAGTTGTAGCAGCAGCGATCTCGAACAGTATTTTGATGTAGTACAACCATGGTGTATAATTAGTACGAAACGCTACTTTATTCTGGATATCATATGTAGACCTTGTTGTTCGGATGTGCCCAACAAAATCCCAATATTCGAAGATTGTTTAGCGTCATGGCTTTTCAATGCGGAGCTTGTCTTCAATTCACTTGGTAGCCATGTGTGCTCACATTATCCTTGATTAAACCTATTCTTGCTGTGTACGGAACTGAAACCATTTCATTTCTCCATAGAGTACCATACTTCATCCATATCGTCACGCGAAGGAATTGACCAGGGAGGTGATAGCATGCTCCCCGCTACTTTGTCAACCAGCTAACTATACCGGCCATCGGCGGTCTCCCGATCTCCTTGCCACTTCGCCTGCACTACCCTTGGATACATCAGTCGTATCTACTAGTCCATCTGGTTCACTCTCCCGGATAGAAAAGCAAGTTATCCAGTTGGATCACATGACAAATAAAACAGCGACGCCTGGCACTCCAGTCCGCGATGTTGATCTCGACCGGCAGTCACTGGGACTGACACCGGCCCAGCACCAACTTGATGCAGGTGTTGAGTCTGCTTACCATGCCAGCCCCGAGAAACAGAGAGAGGCGTAAGTCTTGCATCGTTGAATTGCCACAAACTTACTGACACATCTTTCTGATCCTCGTTCCCTCACATATCCTACTTCGCATGATACTCGAATTTCAGACGAACTTGTGCGTTCATCTCTCCTCACATTTATTCGATAACAAAAACACTTCTCTTGCTGAATATGTCAGTTCTTCATACCTTTTTCACTTTTAGAACTCGGGATGAAACCGTGGTTCTTCCATTACCCGTGATACAACCCATGGTCAAAGAGCTTCTGGAATCTCCTTCTAGTCCTGCAACCGGTCTGTTACTCTGCCCACTGTTTACGAATATTTTGCTTTGTTCGGTACTGTCACATCATTCCAAACTCCTCTGTTTATCAAAAATTTTACGATGCACATTACATCCGCTTTTATCTAAAATCTCAATACGTTTAGTTTTTACGAGAAAATTCTTCTATGCTGTTCCTTCTCTTTAAATTTACTTTTATGAAAATTGTCGGTATGGCTTCCATTTCAGGTCCACTTAGCATGTTTGTCGAAGATCACTGAGCAGTTTTGTTTTAACCCTTGCTCTTGGTCGACACTACCGGATCTGCATTGAACAAGTTGACTGTTACCTCAGTCTGATTTTCATCTGCGACAGGTGCATATCTTGGTGCAATATCTCATTTGTTCCTTGTACCTGTACTTTTATTCGGTCCTCACCCCATCGCTAATAACAACGCTCCACCCTAATTTCTTCCCAGGAGGTCAAAGATTGTTGTTTCAACAAGCATGCTCCAACATTCATGCGCCCCGACTTCCACATGCATTTTGTCCACTTCAATCCCACCGCTGCTTCTTATACGAATATCCATAATTTTAGAACTCAGTTTTCACAAACAACAACCCACGCCAAAGTCGTCCACCCCAAGCGGAGAAATAGCAGATTCGCCAAGCGCATCACACGTGTCGGATACCGAGCATCCTTGGACAAGTCTGCAATTGCCCGAAGTCTGCGTCGTTCTAACTCCTATCACACGTCCACAAGGCATATCTCCTGTAACCGAAGCTGTCTCTGTGAGGCATCCAAGTACGAGATGGAAAGATCTAGTGAGTTGCACCCTAGCAGAATCCAGTTCACAATTTTCGCATCACCTTCCAAATGCAAGGTGTGGAGTTCCGGTGGACACAGTCAACTGTGTGGGTAATCACATGATAACTCCCCACAGCACTGTCCCGTGACTTTCAGTGGTGTTTTGTAAAAGAACCTGACAGGTGGAGATTTTCTATTCCGCTCTCTCCCAACACTGTATTCCAGAACTAGTTAGTACTGATTTGGACTCTTTAGATAGTAGCCGTAGTAGTAGTATCAACATTATTATTAGTAGTAGTAGTGTTATTATTATTAGTAGCAGTAGTAGTCGTAGTAGTAGTAGTAGTAGTAATAGTAGCAATAGCCTAAAGAATAGACATGGAACCAAACAAGAATCATGGCAATCACCCGAAGTAAACAGGTTTAATCACCGCATCTTCATCACGGCACGTTAGCTGAAGTTCAGCAACACGCTTCAGCTATAGCGCCGCAAGAACAGAACTTTTGTTGTTTTTTGTTTTCTTTTCATGCGCTATTTTTCATCTCGTTTGTCTTTTTCAATTGTTAAGCATCTTACTCTGAACAAGTATGTACAAAGATGTTCCACTTGTTTCGACTGCGCGCCGTATCCTGAATCGTTTCCAACCGTCGTCAATCCTTGTCCTTTCGTCCCCAACCAGGCAGACGTGTGGATCCAACGGCGAAAAGATATGAAGTCAACGATTTCATATGCTGTCACCAGGTGGGCGGTTGGTTACCGCGTGGTCTCTTCCAGCGAAATCCTGCACGAGCGAAATAAGGCACGCGCTTAGCTGACATACGCGGGACGTGGTCGATCCATCATAACTGACGCGGTAAAACCAGCATCCCCTAAGACACGACATCTGATTTCACCGCTGTAGGTACGTTGCTGCAACCACGCACGCGCGATCCTCATCGTCGAAGACTGAGAGCCGACGCATGTCATCCACGCGAACTGGCCACAACTCGCTTCCATATAGCAATACCACCCGAACGGTGGCACTGTAAACGCACCCGCTTACTATGATTAAAACATCCCGACGACGCCACAAGTGTTTCAGGCTGACAAACGCCGACCGAGCTTTGGCGAGACGGGTAGACAACACTATCTGCTGGTTCAATCTGTGTACCTTCAAGAGTGAGCACGGGAACGGGCGAGTGCCAATCCTGGAGCAGAACTTTACACTTCCACGGTGCGAAGAATATGCTGTACTTAGATGCCTCGATCGCCAAACCATTATATGGTTTTCATACTGCGAGTCATCACCACGTAATGCGCTATCATCAGCATCCTTTAAGTCGGTCTCTGCCGACCAAATTTTTGGTAACCTTCCAGTGCTCTCGACAGGACGTCTTCAATCGCAACATTAGACAGGAAAGAGGACATACGGCAGCTCTGTCGTACACCGCTTTTGACAGCGGAGGACGCCGAAAGCTTGCCACGGACTCTCACTCTGTCGAAGATGTGCAGGTAGAGTACACGCAGGATGGGGGTGTACTATTCTGGGACCCAGTACTTTATCGATCAACGCCATAGTGCAAGTCTATCATCCGAGTCATATGCAGCATTAATGTTTAAGAAAGCAATGATGGTAGGCCTCTGGTAGATGTGGCGGTGCTCGGGGATTTGACGGAGCGTGAACATTTGATCCACATACCAACGTCCAGGACGGAAGCCAGATTGTTCTTCCCGGTACTGCGATCCACGTATCGGGGATGGTCTACGGAGTAGAATGGATGCCGATAGCTTAGAGCCAACCGAAATGAAACTAATCTCCCAGCAATTAGTACACGAAGTGCGAGCACCCTTCTTAAAATCGGGACAATAACTGATTCGCCCCAGAAAGTAGGTACCTTCCCTTCATGCCATATTTTGGAGAATAATAAGGATAGCTGGTTGATGATAACTGCGCCTCTATAATTGAACAGCACCAGAGGAACTCCATCTGAGCCGACAGCCTTGAATCGTTTCAAGTGTCGAATCGTAAGGCAAACTTCCGCTTCGCTGGGTGGATCAAGTGGGACGACCCAGGACAGGCAGCTGGGTTCGCAGGGAATACAAGTGAACAGTGAGGGCCAATTGAACTGCGAATGAACGTGTTCGCCACATAGATCCAAGTGTCTCTATATGTTAGCAACCGGCGGACCATCCACTTAACAGCTAGTCTCACTAACACCGGGCTTTCTGAAGCCAGTGGACGGAATGAACTGGAAGAGTTTGCGAGTATTGTCAGAGAGGGCAGCGGCCTCCATTCTCGAAGCATGCTAAGACCACCAGGCTTCACGATCACTGCGTAGGTTTTATTTGAACTGCCGACTGACAGAATGGCGCGCTTCATTATGATTACACTCCTCTGGGATGTATCCGCGGTGATCAGATATATCCACGGAGCGCGTGGAGATCCATGTCTTCTGAGTGAGACCACATGGAAGACATCATGGTCCTCTGCATGCAGGACCAGTTTTAATCAATATCTTGCGGTGGGTCACAGCTGAGTGCATCGGCCAGGGAAGATTGATAGCTCTGCTGGGCCGAGAGAGTAGATAGCTTGTTCGTAGCTACCTTAGAATGCTTCGTTTTCGAGGATCCTCCGAAACTCATACAAATGTTCGTGCGGACAAGAGCATGGTCTGAATCAAGAAAAGTGGACCAGGTGGATCTGAAATCCCTTTCATTACTCCTCCATCTGTAACTGATTGTAATATGATCAATCTGAGACCATAATTGCGACGCGGTAGTGGGTCGCCAAGTAGCGGAATGTGTCATCAAATGCATGAAGTTGCTTCTCGAGAGAAACAAATAATTATCTTCACACAGTGTGAGATGTCTTTCTCCATTATCTGAGTGACTCCCTTCGAGCGCATGGTGACCACCGACGTGACCTTTGCATGATAATAGTTGACCGACCCTTGCGTTGAGATCCCAAGCAAGGACAACAATATCAGAGTTACGGGCTCTGCTCAAGAGATGGTGAAGTTCACTACAGAAGTCGTCTTTGACCGAGTCGCAACTGCAGTCCGTTAGAGCGGAAGCTGATATCACAAACAAGTTGCGGCTTTCTTCAGGACATCTGTTGATCCTGCATGGTCCCCGACACCAAGCAACACACAGCCGACTATTGTTTTGGAATCAGTCCAGCAGTGCGGCCTCCGGTTTACTGCTTATCGCTACACTAACCTCAGCCAAGCGTACCGCGGATGTTTCTGTGTCACTAGATAGACGTAGGTGAATTATGGCTCGGTGGGCGATCTCAACTCAATCACAGTACTGAGATCCTGCAAGCGTGCTTCGGAAAAGAAGCAAACATCAGTGGCGAGGGATTCCAAGGTGCGTGCTAGCCCAGTCTGCTGCCCGATATGCTTGAGTACGTACATTGAAGTATGCCAGACGGAAAGTGGACCGAGACCGAAGAAAGGCGACTGGACATGCTCTGTGAACGTCCACGAATCCATCGAGAGAAACCATGGGGACCAGAAACGGCTGCTAACTGATAAAACTTATTGGCAACACATGAACGGGTGACGTGTGAATGTGTGTGAGTAGCGAAAGTAAAGGCAGCTGAGCGCGATATGTTGAATAAACAATTTATGGTTTCGTCAGTGGGCGTGATACTACCCGGCTGCCCAAGCCGAAGTGGGGAGTTGTCTTGGTTACGCTACTGGGATTATTTGACTGAACAGCCTGCCCGCAACGCAGCGGGGGGAATTCAGAGAAGCACGTCCATTTTGAATCGGTGACTGCTTGTTCATTTCATACGTCTTTAGTTTGTTCTCTTACCAAACAGGGGCCCCATCCTCTACATGATATCAGCACAGTTGCTGGAAAACAAAGCATCATAGAAGTAAAGCAAAAGGCAGTGATTTATTTAGTGGCTAGTCAAATCCGCCACGTTGTGGCATTATCAAACAGATATTTGTGGCTTTTTATAGGGAGAACGCTTGCCTGTCAAAAACCCACCACGTCCTACCGCACTATTTGCTGGAACGGGGTAAACCCGAATCACCCAGCTGGCATAACGAGGAGATTGTCCGGTAATTCTCATCAGACTCAAAAATTACATGATGACGATAAAGTGCTAAATTTACCGGATTGGGCCGCGTATTGATCAGAATGTTTAACTCCAACAGGAACAAATTACTGGGTCATTGAGGGTGGCAACTTATGTACAGGGGAAACCACAGCAGAAGTTATATGCCACGATAGAAGTAAAGGACGTACAAACTGTTTTCATACGCACAATTCTGCGGATATAGATATCTTCCGCGATAGACAGGAGATACTTCCGGATTCCGCCTCCCTTGATTCATTCCAGGAGCTTTATGCCGTTTCAAAGATTGGATTGCGCTTCGGGTCTCTACTTCGGTAGGTTGGTCACTAGGGACAGACCAAGCAACATCCGATGGCGATGACGTCACAGAGGGATGTGCTGGGTAGTTAAAGCCTAGAGCAAAGTGCTTCGCCCAGCGCTCCAATCGCTTCTGCAGGTTGGTGATTTTTGTACTGTCTAACTCACAGATTGTCTGATTGATGGTGTGTGAATTACAACCGATGGCCTTGAGGAGGCGAAACAAACTGCGGCAGTTTCCAACTGATGCAGCGGCATCATCTTAGCAGCATGCCTAAACCACCAGGATTCACAATCAGAGCGAAGGCTAACTTCCAGTTGTAGAGAAAGACCGACGTGTTTCATTGTGTTCCATGCCAGCGGGCATGGCGCGTCGACGATCTGGAAGTTCCGAGGAAGTTACCGAGATCCAGCTTTTAGCTGTACAGAGGACGAGGCCGCTGCTGGACAAACTTGCGGACAGCATGGCGTTTTGCAAGCCTAACCAGTGTTGGTCAGCATCCAGGGAAGAGGGAAGGGCAAGGTGCTCACGAAGCTTCTGTTGGTACTCTGTTTGTACTGCGAGATCTTCCAATTTGCAAATGTTCAATCGGGTTTGTTTGGCCCTTGGGAAGCAACCGAATCGCATGCAAACTGTCGCGCACACCAAT